TATGAGAGAAGCCAAACATTGATGAACCGCTAGGTCGGCCAGTATTTTGTACAAATTCCAACGGAAGCTGCCTCTTGTTTTTTCGAATTGTCCCTACGAGGGTCAGTTTATTTGCTTTCAGACCTTCTGCAAGTTCCATACTGATGAACTAGTTATCTGTTGTAACGTTTGTGTTGGTACCATTGATATGTTGAGACAGCCTTTCTACTACTGATTTAGCAGTGGTCTCTGTTCGAAAGGGACCCTCTGGCTGCTTACCCACATAAACTTCCATATGGCTGGTATAGAGTACATAAAAGAATCAGAAAGTGCAAAAATGTTTATGCCATACTTATTTGGCTTGCTTGGTATATATTGTCTGAAGTTACATTTACCTCTAAACGCTTTAAGCCTTTCGTCTATGGTTACGTGCTCAGAATGTGAGTAACACTTTTTTTGATTATCGTTGAATTTCTCAAACAAAATTCGGATCGGAGCCAATTTATCAATTTGTACTCTCTCTTCTTTTGTATGTATATCATCGAAACGAAGGCATCTCATTAGAAATTGGAATCGTATTCTGTTCATTCCAAGACGAAATGCTTCCACTCCACTACCATCCGTTCTCCAAAGATCGCCTAGATTCATATGGTTAGCTTTTCTGGCTCTTGCAAGATATAGGATTCCAATCAGCGCCTTTATTTCTATGAGATTAGTAGTCTTAACATCGCTTTCTCTGGAAAATTTTTGGGAAATGTAGACTTCGATTACATGAATAGCAATATCTCAATGTACGAAAAATCAATGTTTTTGCGTGCACTAACAGAACCCGAAATTATGGAATTGATAAAGAGCTTAAAGCATTCAAACGCAAGTGGTTACGATGAGATATCAAACAATTTATTGAAAAAATGTTCTTATGAACTTTGCAGCCCAATGACGTATATCGTAAACTTGTCTACTGAAAGGACCCAGGACGTACATAAACAAGTAAACATATGGGCAGAAAAAAATCACTTAACACTCAATACATCTAAAACTGTGATGATAAAGTTCACAATTAGTAACTGGCCCGAACATTTTGTTATCCATGAAAATGGGGATCTGCCAATTGAATCTTGTACTTCTACAAAAATGTTAGGCGTCACCTTGGACTACAAACTCACATGGACTCCTCATATTGAGACCCTCTGTATTAAATTGTGAAAAAACTGCTATGCTCTGAGATTCATGGCTAATTTTTGTAGTAAAGAGATTTTACTGAGCTTATACTATGCGACTATAAACTGCCACTTGAGATATGGAATTTTGAATTGGGGTACCGGATCTGCTGCTGAAAGAATATTTATTTTGCAAAAAATGCAGTAAGAATCATTGCCGGAATTGGTTGGAGAGATGCTTTTAAAAATCTCAAGATACTAACTGTTGCTGGTGTCTATATTTATGAATTGTGTATATACGTTTATAGAAACAAGCATAATACAATTTTCCATCAACATAATTATCCAACTCGTTCTAGAGACAAACTGATGCCCAATATTCATAGAACAACTCTTTATCAGAAAATTTTTCTTTATCTTGGACAAAAAATGTTTAATAAATTAGAAGAATCAATTAAAATATCACAAAATCTTAACATTTCTAAATCAAGACTGAAAAAGGCACTTATTGAAAAAAATTGCTACACACTTGACTAATTTTAAACTGTTTTTTCATATTTTTATGACAAAATATCACAACTATGTGATAAAATTGACTTTCATTTATTTATAGTTATTTTTTTTTACATAATCTGAGCCAAACAAATAATTATATGTATATACCTATATGTATCATATTTTTAGATTACACAACACAACAAAAAAATATTTTTTGAATGTTTCCTACACTAAATTAGTCAATTTCTACAAATTTTGGGGTGATAAATAACAATGAAAAAATTTTTTATTAGCTCTGGTTTTTGAGATACACAGTACTTAATCTTAAAGAGTAGTTATACTATACGTGAAATGTTTTACTCCTGGCAATTGTAATACAATATTTGAACTACGAGTTCTTACATTTTTTGGTGGGGCATGCTTTTTCCACATTGTTATCTTGTCTTTTCCTATGAATACTGGTTCTCTGGTAACAGCAACAGGTGTGTAATCATCTCCACCATCCTCAAACTCTTGCCACTACTTTCCAATTTCTGCTCTATATTATCTATTTCGCCTTGTTCATCGTCATCATCACCCCCATAATCTTCATCACTTTCCATTTCCTCGAACAACCTCAAAAGTCTTTCCTGCTCCTTTTCGTAGTCCATATCTATAATAAAAAAATTGACTATATAGTTTTATAACACATTTTAGGGCACGCGTCGATTTATGAAACGGGCGGCAGCGTAGCGCGAGTTTTCTGAAGGAACTGGTATATTATACATTCTTTCTTTTTATTCCATCGGCAAGTTGGCAGCAAGAGACAAAAATATCAAAGAAGTTAATATATATTTTTGAAAAAATGAGAATCTGCAAAACTTAATTTCTTATGCAAATCAACGTTTTTTCAAAGATATTTCAATTTTTTCGTGAGCATACTTAATATCAATATTCAATTTCACTACAAAAATAGTGGTATTATAGTAGTTCTTGTGAAAAACAAAAGGAAACTTACCGATATCGATTTTAGAATCTTTTCACAAATGATAAAAATAAGTCACTTGTTTACTCGCACCCGGTCTACTGCACCGTGTTGGGGGAGCACTTCTGAGAAACACTTCATATCAACTGATAATTGATGGCGATGTTAGCTGAAGAAGTACTGGAAAGGTACATGGAGGGGGACGATGCACCCCCGCGAATATCGAAATTACGGAGAAAAGAATTTTGGGCCGGTCCGATACACCGTGCGCGAGTAATGGAAGGTTAAAATGGTCGGATATAAATTCTTCAACTATGAACACATTAAATTTCCAAAGGTACCGTAAATATGCTTAGGTAACTATTTTTACCTGGAAATAAACAGATTCAATAATGGCGAATTATTTTGTTCAGTTTGATCGTTAATAAGATATCGAGAGTTTTTAAATTTGTTCATTTTCATACTTTCCAACAAGGTTGTGTTTCAAACCTGGAGGGGCTTGAATTCATAGTTGAACTCATGTTCCTCAGTAATTAAATGAGTGGCATGTGTGGAGTTTATTCTTCCATTCTGCAAGCTATTTCTGTGTTCCTTTATGCGGGCTTTCGTTCTTCCAGTTTAACCTATATAAAACATCGTACATGATCCACGTGAATATTTATTAACTCCCGATTTTTCTGAAATTGAACCCTCATCATGTTATTCCAAATGTACATGCCTGAGTTGTTGTTGGTTTTCAAAGCAATATTTACACCTATGTTGTGCAGAAATTTTGAAATATTCGTAGTGGGTTGGCCTGAGTAGGTTAAGGTTTTATAAATTCCTTCCTCATCTTTTCGAATTGGGTAAAATTCCTTCAAAGCTTGGCTGTATAACTTTTTTTGATAATAGAGAATGTATTATATTGTTATCGTAATCATTGTTAACGGCTATTTGTTTCATTTTGTTAAGTTCTTTATAGAAATTCGCATCTGACAAGGAAACAGTCTGTGGATCATACTATTGAATGATGCTATTTTGTGCTGATACGGGTGTGGGTGGCCAAATTATGAATGGTAATGTCTGTATGTACTGGTGTACGATTGATTGATAAATCATGTTTACTGTTAACTTTCGTTATTGTCAAATTCAAAAAATTATTAGAGTCGTCCATTTCCATCTCCATGATGAATGTGATGGCAGCTTGAAGAGAATTGTCGAAATTCAAGAACTTAGTCAGCATCCATACAGGCACAAAGTAGCAACATTATCAGTATGATCCACAGACTGATGAATGGTCCCGTGTCAAATGCGAATTTCAATAAAGAACTGAACATACTGAAACAAATAGCCGTCAACTGTGATTACGATAGCAGGCTAATACATTCTCTATAATCAAAAAAGTTATACAGCCAAGCTTTGAAATAAATTCAACCAAGATGAGGATAAATGTTATAGAACCTCAACCTACTCAGGCTAACCCACTTTGAATTTTTCAAATTTTCTGCACAACAAAGGTGTAAATATTTCTTTCAAAACCAACAACAACTTAGGCATGCAGATTAGAAAAAGAAAAGATGATAGTTCAGTTTCAGAAAAATCGGGAGCGTATAAATAATCAAGTGGGCCATGTCCGATATTTTATATAAGTCAAACTGCAAGAACGTTCAGAGCAGACATAAAGAAACAGAAAAATAGTTTCTAAAATAGAAAAATCAACTCCACACATGCCACTCATTTAATCACAGAGGAACATGGGTTCAACTATGAATTCAAACCGCTTTATTTTCACTATTTTCATTTCCAGGTAACAAGTGTTGAGTATAATTGCGGTACTTTCGGAAATTTAATCAACTTTTCAATTTATACCTGACCATTTCAGAGCAAATTCAAATACAACCAGTTTATTGAGATCTCTCTTCAAGCACACATTTCAATACATTGAATATATGATTCATGTGACCACATAATTTGATCATGAAATAAATGTATACAGAATATCTGATTACTGACGTCATTGAAAAAACGATCATATATACATTTTTGGATAATCTCTCGTTGAAAACATGATTATCTGTTTTGATCTATTTTCGTCTTACGAAAACCATCATTTGACCAATATTCTGCAAATACAATGTTTACTGGGGAGTAGAAGCCTGATTCATCTATCTACTACAAAATACCAAAACTACGCAGGAGTTCTCAAAGTATTCGAAAACTTCGAAAGAATTACTAATAAGCAATATTATTTCATTAAGAGGCGGGTTCTTGATGTACATTCTATTAAACACGATTGGTCCTTCTCAATTTTCCAACTGAAATGACGGAAAAAATTCATGATTACGTGTTATTATTGGAGCAGACTAGTTTAGACTTTTTCACATTTGAATATTCTATACTTGAGTATCTATTATTTTCAGGGATTACTTCGTGGCGCAATCAGTCAACAAAGTGCTGTGATATTAATATGCATGGCCATGGACAGATATTTGTGTATGCTGTATCCCGCCAGATACCACAAACATTCAAGTAAAAAGGTGAGCAAATAATAATCACAACCCAGTAAGTAAGTGAATAATTTATTTCACCCCGTTATGTAAAGTTACATCTATGACAGGTCACATATATTCCTACATACACCAAAAATAAAGTTCAAATTTTTATAAATCAGTCATGACAAATGACATTATAAATAACGTGAAAAGACATATCTTAAAACATCATACACATATGATGAGGAAATATACAAACAACTAAAACTATCCAGGAGTTTGCAATGTCAACATAATCGTTCACAGATTGAAAACAGTGGTGAAGTGGTAATTTTTTATCGCCCTCCTGGATTTCCTGAATTTAAATCATTCAATAGGTGTGAGAAGGACATTGAAATGACTAATATCTGATAGCTAGTCTGTGTATCGTGGAATATTCAGCAAGTCTGTAGGTCTTGTGTGAAGAGAATGTAAGTTGGAACATTCGAATATATTCCTAATGAAACTGAATTAATGTACAATGTTGGTAATGACATTATAACGAGTTTGACAAAATTCTAATAGCCTTTTTCATACATCTAAAGACAGCCAGCGAATGGGACGAATTTCCCCAGTGCAACATGCCATAAGAAATCACCGAAATGAAAACGAGTAGTAGGTCATTTACAGAGCATGCGTATTTGTGGGTCAATTCAGTTTTCTGAGTACGAGAACACTGGATAGTTTACGTACTACTTGAATTACATGATTGGAAATATTCAATCTGTCATCAATTGTACCTATAGAATATGAATGAACTCCTTTTTTAATATATCATTTGAAATCTTCCCAAATCATCTTCTTCTATAATCTATCTTATTGATTGCTTTTCGAAAACAATCCTCTTTTGTTGCAACATATCAATTTTAACTTCTTTTGTTTGACTTCTATTTGTAAATATGATGAAAATAAATTTACTAACACATGATGAAAAATGTGATTTTCAAAGTGAATTTGAATGGTCAGGAATGGAACATTTGTAAAATTTGTGTATTGAATTTTTTTTATAATAACTGTCCATACGCTCGATATGAACAGATCTGAATCTATCGTCGACGTTGCGTTAATTAATTTTATCTCTTCCAAGTCTCAACTATAAAGCAGCGGTGGAACTGAAGCAAACTCTTTCATAAAAAATTTTTTTTTCTATTCTGGGTCTTGGGAAGTATGAAACTGATATCTTTTTCAAAATGCGATTTCCACTACTGAAAAGGGTACAAAATAATCCATAATACCAAATACAGAATAATCCTATAGGTAACTGCTTTCACCAAAAAATTCGAAAAGAAAGAAATTTCGTTAAATATATAAGTAGTATACTTGGTGATAGCAATCAAACAAAAAAGCAATCAACTCTAAAATGACTTTTTGTTAGCACTGCCAAAGGGTGAAGATATTAATGATCCATCAAGTCTTCGTCCAATTTCTCTAATCTCTGCAATGGATAAATTGATAGGAAAATCAGTTGAAACAAGAGTTCTTTGCTTTCTGAATGAAAATAAAATAATAATGAGTAATTGCCAGTTTGGTTTCCAACATTTAAAAAAAAACACTTCCGATGCCATACTTTCATTTCTTTGCAATGTTTATTCCAACATAAAAGACAAAGAAGCAGTGGCTGCGGTCTTCTGTGATATAGCCAAAGCATTTGATTGCGTAAATCATAAAATTCTTTTACAGAAACTCAGTAGATATGGTATAACTGAAATAAGTTTCAAGTGGTTCGAGTCATACTCAGCAGATCGCACCCAGATGCTCAAAACCTCTTCATACTCAAATGAAGGTAAAGTTACCAGCGGCGTCCCACAAGTTTCGGTTCTGGGCCCACTTTTATTCTTAATTTACATTAATGACCTATCGTCTATTAACATCCAAGAAAAATTTACTTCATTTGGTGATGATACCACCATTTTATGACATGCCCCTAAACTAAACAACCATATGTTGTATGAAGTTATTGAAAATGACATCACGAAAGTGAGAGACTGGTTTGACTCAAATCTCTTGAGATTGAGTTCATCAAAAACAAAAGTAGTGTCCTATCGTTGCCAGATTCCAGCTGTAAATCTTAATTATATTCAAATTAATGGACAACGTACTAACTTCAAAATGTCTTGACTTGTCCATTGACAATAATTTAAAATTCAACAAACATGTAGACAGATTCAAATCCAAGCTCTCCTCTGGATGTTATACAGTACAAGTAATTGCATTAGAGCTCGGATCTGCAGTAGCTAAAATGGTTCATCATCCTTTTTTTAAATCGCACCTTCGTTATAGATTTGTTCTTGAAATTTATGTTCTACCACATGTTTTCAATCAGTATTACTGATTCAAATACGTGCAATATGATTCATATGTAAAACCAGGCCTAGCGATTCTTGTCGGCCTCTTTTTGCCTCTATTATTAATATATGAAACAATCTAGCTTCTCTTAAAAACTAGGAACTTGTTTAACAACTTGGACGAGCCAATGTATCAAACCAGGCAAAAATTCAGCTTCAAATTACCGCTGCCTTATTCGACCCTAGTTGAAGATTCCATTATTTACAAAGGTCTCAAATTGTTCAATCACCTTCCACAAGCTATAAGAACCATAAATGAACTTAGCGCTCTTAAAAAAGAGTTGAAAGACTTATTATAGCTTAGCAGAATTCTACGATGATAATTTTAATTGAGTATGACTAACTGTAGTATCTACGGTATTTCATTGATTTGATTCAATTTAGTTTGAATTGATTTATTTCATTTTATTGGCCATGTTTTTATATCCTGAAAGTTTGTATTGTTTATTTACATGTTGCTTTTCAGTTCATGTTATCAGTCACTTTCAATGACTTTACTTTTGTGATTTCATGTATATGTTATTTATATTTTGCAGAAGGTTTTGTCAATAAGAATTCATTCTTAGGGCAATGAAGTATATTTTTAATTCAATTGAACCAATACAGAAAATCAATTCTACATGACAGACTAATCTGAATGCTCGGCTTGACTACCTATTCGTTGAATGCATATGAGTTATTCGTCCATACAATTTACGTAGCAATTTTCTAGCATGATGGATGTAATGCTATCACATGCATCTTTTATTTTTTGTTCGAGATGTGTCGAAACAACTCTATTCTTCATATATCCCCTGACAAAAAATCTAAAGGAGTAAGGTCTGTGGATAGAACTGGCCAGACATTTGTTTCACTATTTTTAATCCATTTTGTTGGGAATATTGCATCTAAATGTTGCTCTACTATTGCTGTTTTATGGAGAGGGTCACCGTCTTGTTTGAAATATTGTATTTCACTACGGATGTACAGTGGCAATTCATCTAAGTGAAATATGAAATTATTCCACCATCCATATTTCACCATCATTGAAAAAAAGTACCTAGTATATTTGTTTGTTTCCAAAATTCCAAATAAATATTCATTCAAAACCTTTTCTGGAAGTTGGTTTCTCTATGTAAACGTTTATTTGTATCATTTTACCTGTAATGAATGTTTCTGTTGATGAATTTTGATTCGTCCGTCTTTATCATTTTATTACAAATATATTTCCAACTTTCTTATTTCTACCGTCCTAATCACTTCGCAAATCGTACTCTGCTTCCGTAATATCTATCATCAAAGTGATGAATTTCCTCATACTCACAATAAGAAAATGTCGTCTAGTTTCATTTTTGTCTAACAATTGACAATTTTTTTCTAATGGTCTGAATATTTGAATGTACGGAATACGACGATTCGTTTGCATGAGTATTTGCATATAAGTCCTCTCCTCATTTGAATACATCTTCAAAATGTTGTCGAGGAAATAAGAAGTGAATAAACTTCTCACAGTCTCAAGAGATATCCACAACTCATTTATTTTTCCTGTCATAGAAATCAAGCGAAGCCTATGCGTTTGAAAATGGTAAATGAATTGAGATTCTATTCAATTGTAACAAATTACAAAACAATCCTATTTTGACTGAAAACCAATATTTTGTTATCTCCAGGATTGGCAATTAGGAAGATGTCTCTTTGAAAAATTATTCAGGAGAAATTAGCTTCGAAACAGGATTACTGTGATACAGAATTTCTAAAAAGGTAAAATAAAAATGTTCGTTTTATTGTGATATGATCTCATAGAAATTATTGGGTAATGTCTGAGGTACGCCAGTAGTCGAATACGTACATGTAAATCAAAACGATTTACGAAAGAATTGACGACAGGCCATGAGGGAAATTTTTTTCACTGATGATGCTTGATGATGATGAAACGCTATAAAAATATCAAGTGTGACAGATATTTCACTGAATTGTGATTTCATCACTTCATCAATATTTGTATTTGAAAAAAAATTGATGAAGGCCGTTTTGACATGAAACATTTGATCAAGAAATCATTATTATATTTGGAAAAAAAGGTTTCGTATTTCTAATTCTCCATCTATATACAAGAACAAAATAGGATTTTTGCCAAGAAAGAATACAAAGGTGTGTAGATCATGCAAAAAAGTAACTTACAGACACAAACTGGAAAAAAAGTCTTCTCGAAACGGCCACTTTCATATTTTCTAAACAAATATTTTCATGTGAACACTGAATTATACAAAAAATACTTTACTTTGTTCAGATTGTTTTCCAAAAATTCGTTAATGAATTGAATCAGATATAATTCACAGGTTTGCTACACAATATAGTGGAAGAAAGAGGTAAAATTCCACTTGAATGAAACACTGTCTTTCTCACTGATGGATATCCGATGCTTCGGGTTAAGATACTTGCCTTATCGCTTCTCCAACACCAAATCTGAATAACATCATGAAAATAAAGACTCAAATTCATTCATAAAATCACACTTTATGTCACGAATGAGTTCAATCTCCTCATGTCATCAATAATACTACGTAATGCCATCCATTCGCTCATTTAATTCAATCCCAGCCGTAAGAATCTTGTTTATATCGGAAGGTATATACTTGTAGGAGAAGAAAAGAAAGGTATTTCTACTTTTTGAATCTTCATACAAAAAAGTTATAGTAGTTATAGTACATTTCGAATACGATGAAATTTTTTTTATATATTTTCTAAAATAACAATTCTATTCTTAAAAAAACATTTTTTTTTTGTTTTTCCTGTGAAAGTCGGGAGGTCCAAAAGTTACTGTGAATTTTCTTTGGCCATTGTACTGTTTTCCACGGTACTTACCTATTCTCCCATTCATTTCTCTTCATATGTGTTACGGTTGATAATATAGCAATGTTACCACATGGTGAAAAAACGTCTTGTTCACGTTATGAATCGTGTGAAAACCAACAACAGTCATTCATGGATATTTTGAAAGAACTATTCAGACAGCATTGATCTACTGTTCTATTCCATGTGTTTGTTTAATATTATTTCAATACCAATATACTTTTTCTCATTAGCGTCAAACTTCTGAAGGGTCACAAAGCATATACATTAAAACTTGACAATGTGTGGTTCACTTCCACTTAGGAAAACTTCGAGATAGAAATGTTTAATTAGAGAAACAACCGCCCTACAAGTCTTCAACTCTAAGCGAACATTTGTTCGGTACGTTCGAGAAAAGAAGATCAACCCACTCGTAATTAGGATCAGACAAGGCCTTTCCGATTCAGGGAACGTTGTGCCAAAGCTTAATAAATGGTCTGATGAATTTTCCTCCAAGTGGTGGTCTCTTGTAATTGAATTGGTCCCTGGGTTTATTTTATTCACTGTAATTTTATCTATGAATAATTGATGAAATGTGACACACACGCCTTTTCTTTTACCATGTGGTAACATTGCTATATTCTAAACTGTAACAGTTACGAAGACGATTAAATGGGAAAAAAAGGTTACTTTCACAGTATTCACAGTACTATGACGATGTGATGATAAATATTCGATAAAACGTTTCGTGTCAACATAGCCACCATCAACTCTTTTTTTTATACGGACCTGTCTTTTTTATTACAGATATTGATAGAGCAATGAACTCACAATCGAAGAGTATATCACATTCGATTTTTTTAAAGCGTTTCATTCGGAATAACTACCATCATCAGTGACAACAATTTTAAATTACAGTCCTGTCGTTACTTCCTGTCGATTTTTTCAAAATATAATTCAGACAACCCAATAAATTCGACAGATAGGTACCCTAAAACAATGAAAATTCGTGTGGAAGCGTGAGGAATCAAATGAATGTTATGAGTAAGCAAATATTACCACATAAAAATTTACACAGTGAAAACATCTTTTTTTTTTAATTTAGGATTGGCCAGTTACAAAAATTATGCTAATCAAGATTGTCCTTTACGAGAAATTGCCCACGAAATGGGAATTTCTGCAAAATCCACCAGATATATTCTGAAAAAGAACAAATATACATGCTACAGGATACGCAAAGTTTATCACCTCATTAAAAGGGATTACGGAATGAGAGTCGGATTTGTGAAGTGGTTAAAACATAGAATATGTACGGACAAAGTCCGTCTTCATTTTTTATTCAATGAATTCAAATTCATTGAATATCCGTTATGAAATATAATATTCTCAAAAGGACGGCGCAGTAATAGTAAGGGAATATTAAGGTGCAATATTTCCAAGAAAATGGAATTGAAACAATGGACCAATTAACTGACCAGCTCGATTCCCAAATCTTACTCCTTTAGATTTTTTCATCTGTGGATACATGAAGCATTAAGTTTCTTCAACACCAAGAACAGATATCGGCCATCTCAAACAAAAAATAAGATATCAGAGCATGATATCAGTGGTGATCTAAGACAACACAATCACAGCCGAAGGTACCAAATGTTGGTATAGATATGGATATACAGTGTGTAAAAGCCATATGGAATACATTCATTATTTCGATTACTGCACATATTTTGAAAAAAACCTGAAATGTAAATTATAATTTGACAT